AGCAGCCTCCCCCATGCCTCGTCATTTCACAGAGCCGAACTAAAGTCAAGCTCAACAGGGGCTTCATTTCCCCTCTTACCTAACACACCCGTACCCGGACGCCCACGACGCCAGGGGCGGGCGACACTCTGCAGCCCGTTTATTAGTGAACGGGCGCAGAAGGAGGAGCCATATGGTGAGATACTTACCTGTTGGTCGTTCCTCTCTCTAATAGTAGTAGAAGTCGTAGTAGTCGTAATAGTCGCAGTATCTCTCCATGTTCAAGTAAAAGATTTATTCAATTTTGCCCATCCTTGGATGGACTGTCGAGGTTCAACTTCCTGATGAGTCCGTGGAAGTCCGACGAAATAGTCTGGCACAGTCACATCTACGACCCACGACCTCACACCTCTGGCCTCCAGTCCTAAAACGCCAAAGGACCAAACTGGCGCCTGCACCTAGACTCCAACAAGGCCAAGTTCAAGTGCAGTACTAGGTCCTACAGCCCGTTCGTTGAAATGAACGAGCATCTGGCCCAATCGCAGGCGAGGGGGGGAAAATCTAAAAAAAAAAAAGTAGAAAGGAAAAAATCTAAATGAAATCTCAGAAGAAAAATCTAGAAAAAGAAAGAAAAAAAAAAAGAAAAACTTACCTATCTTAGAAACGGCCGCCCGTTGCTTCGGGCGCCTGCACAGTTCGTGGGGACACTAAGTCCCCGTTACTTCCTGCAGCGCCACATGGCGCTTTAGTTTTCGTTTTTCAATTTTTTTTTTTTTTTCAACGGTTAATTCCCGCCGTGTCGTTTCGCCCTAGTGACAAAACGAACAACAGAAGGAAAAAAAAAAAAAAAAAAAAAAAAGATGCGACTTACCTCGTGATGATGCCCCGATGTCCTCGCCAAAGCCCGTATCTGGGCGCTTAGGCGTTCCGATACGGGACTTTTTTTTTTTTTTTTTTAAGTTAAAAAAAAAGGAAAATTTTGGTTCCTTCCTCCATTCATGCGTGTCATCCTTGCGTAAGGACCATCCTCGGTCCGCGCGGCTGATCTCAGCCGTGTGATCTCACGATCGCACGACGGGGATTAACTGCGTCTAATGTCTGGCGGCCGACTCCAAAAGGAGCTAGCCCAGCGGTACAGCGAGTGAGATTCGATCCCCATATCAGCGGGGTAAGAGTCAAGTATCAGTACCTACTGTGCTAGCTCCCACCACGGTAGAGATAAGAGTTGCTCCTCTATAAGAAGAGCCTGCCCAATAGCTATTCCCCCTCACCGGTGGCCTTGCAGGCCCCGCCTGCTTGTGGCCTTGCCTGCCTGTGACCCTGCCCTACCGGTTAACCGCGTGACAGCAGCTTGGTAGGCCATCTAACCGGATAGGCCCCGACATTGGCCTGTCGGTTCCCTGGCTCAAAATGAAGCCCGCGGGCCCAAAAAAATAAAAACATAACTTCCTATTCCTCCTGCGTCGCGGCCCCATACCTGATGCGACCCTCTTTTTAGCCCACTTAGGCCCTGAATCGCGCGGTTGTACAACCGCGTAACCTTATTATAGGTAGAATAGGTCTAACTTTAGCGTTCCCATGTCCATACATTCCTCTGCGATCTCAATAAAGCGAAGCACGTCCGATCACTTCCACTACTCTCGGATGCTGCAGACGTCCGGACTAGGGTTCTAAAAAGTTTTTGTTTCTCGGTCATAGGTTGGGTTTGAATAAACTTTTGGCAGATAATCCCATCTCATCAAGTTATGAAGCCCGAATAACCATTCACTAAGTCGGACGTCGTCCGACATTTAAAAACACCGGGCAGATACCCTTGTCAGGGTTTGTGCCCCGACAGCATTCCCGGCCCCATTGTGCGACGACCCCGTCGTTCCCCATCAAAAATATAAAGTAAAGATTCTTATGAAATCTTCATGTGAAAACAACAAAATACACAACAATCTAAAACTCTTGTCTGTAATAAAGCCGGAACTTTCACCAACAACCTGGATTCAGCCTCCAGAAGCCTAA